TTGACATGAAATTGTCCATAAATTCCCAATGATCCCAAACACAGCAGCAAATCTACAACAGAATGGGTGAAAAAGAAAAGGAATCGAGGTGCTGCATGGGTCCGATCACAGTTCAGACCTCAACCTTATTTAATACTGTGCATAAACAAATGTCCACAAACCTGAATGAAGCATAGTGATGAATTCCTCCACAATGCTGCGAGAGACTCGTAAAGTCACACACAGAAGACTGAATCGTCTTGTGTGGTGTTTTCTTGTGTGGTGGATGTTTTTTGTGTTTTTAGGAGTCCACACAGAGCTCTGTGAAAACTTGAATTTCTCCATGATTATATATAAAACATAAGTCTGTTTTTTTTATTATTATTATTATTCTGTCTCATTAAACACCAGTTGAGAGTTTTCCAGTTCCAGTGGTGTTCCAGTTACACAGGTTAATTGTCTGCAGATCTGGTGTAAATTTTAAAAATTAATCTTTCCCATTATGTCCTCAATATTATTATCATTCCACATGTAGCACATTCTGCCACCAGATGGCGATGTTGTCTTTTTTGAGTCCTACACTCCACCATGTCTGAGCCACCTGTGCATGAACGAATGTGCTGCACACTGAAGACGTATTGGAGGCAAATATATCAAATCATTTTTCTACTTCTATAAGTTGTCCTCTCTTTAAGGAGCTGTGTCTCCGCACATGTCTTTCTGTACTGATGTAAAGCTACACAAGTTGAACTTTAACCACTACGTGGTTGTAGTTAAGAATATACCTGTTTAATCTAACCATACTGCTCAAGCTCATGGAACCAGCCTGATCCATGAGTGGATTTAATATTATTCTAAAGTCTTTGAAGCTTTCAAAACATACTTCAGAAGTGTTAAATTGCAAAACAATTTTGCATAAAATGTAGAAACAACATTTGAAACAAGGAAATGATAAAAAAAAAAAAAAAAGACATAAAATTAGAAGATTTCATTGAAGGGTAGTGTCATATATCCTCAAACAGCAACAACACTAATAATTCAGTGTGTGTAACACTTAATGTGTTAGGATTGCGGGGGGTTTAAATACCTGTAAGGTACTTAGGAGACATTTGTATTGGGGCAATTAAGGGCAGCTCTTGGTTGAAGAGGTAAAGCTTACAGTGATGTCTGTCAGTCAACAGTAATTTAACACCAGCTAAGAACTGAGCATCTGTCTGCCATCAGGGAGGTTTGCCAGCGGTGCTGACAGATATGCTAGTGAAAGCCGTGCATCATCATGTGTAACTTAATCTGATGATTCACCAGGTTTCAAAGCACAGAGCATGTTAGACTTCAATATACACTAAATAGTCGATAACATATAACCCCTGGTGATATAAAATGTCACTTTCCCCCAGTCACAGATATGCACTAAGCTCTGAGTTCAGCTCCAGCACACAGGTGGGTATTTTCCAGTCAGTGACGAGAATATTCTGTTTATCAGTGCTGCTGTCTTTCAAAGTAAAAATTATATCCAACATCCAGAGTCTCAAATTTAAATTAATATGTGCAACATTTTACAGACTCTGTAATGCTACAAAAGCTACACATGCTGTATATGATATGAACGACCACATGCTTTAATTAGCTAGAAGTGTCCTAGGTCATAAATCTGTGCAGTTATAGAGCAGTAAGATCACGACTCTCCCAAACTGATACCAGGTGTTTCTAATATCCTCTGAAGAGCTACAGTTAGATCCATATATATTTGTATTATAGTTCTATAATGGACATGGACATAATGTGTAGACTCTCAGGTTTCATTCGAGGGTATCCACACTCAGACTGGATGAAGGGTTTAGGA